CTTCCCCCCCCCCCCCCCAACCCCCCCCCCCCCCTCGCTTCCCATAGTAAGGCCGCTGGGTAGTGGTCTTTTCGGTATTAGTTTTCCTTCAATATTCTTTGGGAAAAAAAACTTTATGCTGTTTGTCGTACGTTTTTGGACGTATTAAGAGATAACCGACAGAAAATATGATTTCTGAACCTCTCCTGGAATAAATTATGCAGAATTTGGTGTCTGCCGAGAGGTTTTCATAAAAATATTGATGGAATTTTTTTTTGTTAAACTATGAACTCTAAAACCTTGTCATAAACTTTAAACATCACCAAATAAATAGAAGACCATAAATTTTTGATATATATTTCATCTATTAGGATATCAGCTGATCAAGTTGAAGATCATTTTAAATATCAAGATTTACAACCGTCTTTCATCTATCAGTTGTAAATTCGGGTCATACTTTTCAAACAAGAAAAAAAGCGGTGCACATAAAGATACGTTACATTTGAGTTTTTTTTCATTGACACCACACCGCCCAACACAGGTATGTACGATCATTCATATTTCGTTGTTTCCTGTGATATTGTTTAACAGATTTTTTTTAACTTTAGATTTTTGGATTTGCATATTTACATGTAGTTTTTTTTAATTGCATATTCACTTTTTTATAACTTTCAGTTTTCGTTAGTTTTTTTTTCAATTTTTCACGCATTGTTTTCTATCAATGTTTTGATATTAAAAAAGGTGGGATTCTTTTCCAAACTCATTAACGTGTAGCAAAAGCAATAAATTTGAACTTTCCGAATGAACTTACGGCGGCAAAATTTTGGTCACAGAAAACTCTAAAAGCAAATACATGTATTAAAAAATTCAAAAAGTTCATTTTGTATATTTGTTTTCTTCTTTTTTCTGTCTTCTTTTTAGGAACAATGAAATCCAGAACGTTGACAGTCATCTTGTCACTTATTCAGCTTTTCTCTGTGAATTCTGCTAAAAATCTCCCATTTGCAGGTAACACATCTTCAATCACCAAACCCCCCTCCCCCCACTCTTTTTCATCTTCATTTTCACTTCTCTTGTGTATCACTAAATACAGTATTTGATTGGATTGTTCGCTAGTGATAACAGCCATCCAGAGCCATTGACAGAAAGACTGTAACCAATTTTGGTGGGCGTTTCATCGCGGCTATTTTTGGCTTTAATCACTAGTGAACAATCCAATCAAATTGCTGCATTCCAGGATCTTCTTATCCCGCCTTCATAAGCCCAATCAGGTGCAGAAAAGTAGGATGTAAAACTCCATTCATTTAATTTGATTTCAACGATTTATTGCTGATTCTGATAAAAAAATGTTGTTTTTCTACAGATTGTCAAGCTGAACTGGAAGTGGTCGTAGTCGCTGACGGATCTGCCAGCATCTCCAATTCAGATTTTGACAAGCTACGATCATCAATCATCACCTTAGTCCACGACCTTGACCTGAGCGATACCGGAACAAGATTCGGCTTCATCCTCTTCAGCAACAATGTTGATAAAATCATCAACCTCAGTGGAACAACGAATTCGGTAGTTGCTTCGTTAGAGCGAATTACTCATCCGAGAGGCCAAACCAACACTGCGGCCGGTATCTCTAACCTGAGCATTATGATGGAGTCACGTGGTCGAGCTGGCGTACCTCGTGTTGGTATAGTCATCACCGACGGTGTGTCCAACAACGCACAATCTACGGCTACGGCTGCCAGTAATGCAAAGAATCTTTACAAAGTCAACATGTTCGCAGTCGGAGTGGGAAACTACTATTCGTCCTCGGAGATGGCCGCCATAGCTTCCAACCAGGACCAAATTCTTGGTCTTTATGATTTTGATTCGCTCTCTGACGCTTTACTGGGCATCGCCAATGAAGTATGTAAAAGTAAGTACGATGACATTATGAAAATTGTTGAGTCTTATCTAGCCACTAGAGATTATGAATTATTTGCTGACAAGTTTCCTCCTTTCTGTGGACAATACCATTAAAATCTGTCAGATACTGGGTGATAGAATTATGACTACTTATAAAACATGATCTTATTTCTTTTAAAAAAAAACTCGATCATGATGAAATCCAGGTCCTCGCTTCTTCTAAAATCGTATGCAGACTATGGTTAGTCACAATTCCCCTGAAAAGACCCAGTGGGATATAAAGTTTGCTATAAATAGTCAACTTCGGCTTCGTACTATTTTCAGGACCGACATTCTACATTTCGCCTGTATATACTTTTAGTAGGTTTCTGGATTTATCTATTGCAGCAACAACTCAAGTCGCAACCACAGTTCCGATAACGACTCCAGAGCCCACAACAACTCCAGAACCGACAACAACTCCAGAACCGACAACAACTCCAGAACCGACAACAACTCCAGAACCGATAACGACTCCAGAACCGACAACAACTCCAGAACCGACAACTACCCCAGAACCGACAACAACTCCAGAACCGACAACAACTCCAGAACCGACAACAACTCCAGAACCGACAACAACTCCAGAACCGATAACGACTCCAGAACCGACAACAACTCCAGAACCGACAACTACCCCAGAACCGACAACAACTCCAGAACCGACAACCACCCCTGAACCGACAACAACTCCAGAACCGACAACAACTCCAGAACCGACTACAACTACTGAACCGACTACAACTCCAGAGCCCACTACGACTCCTGAACCAACAACAACTCCAGAATCGACAACAACTCCAGAACCGACAACAACTCCAGAACCGACAACGACTCCAGAGCCCACTACGACTCCAGAACCGACAACTCCAGAACCGACAACAACTCCAGAACCGACAACAACTCCAGAACCGACAACAACTCCAGAACCGACAACGACTCCAGAGCCCACTACGACTCCAGAACCAACAACGACTCCAGAACCGACAACAACTCCAGAACCGACAACAACTCCAGAACCGACAACAACTCCAGAACCGACAACGACTCCAGAGCCCACTACGACTCCAGAACCAACAATGACTCCAGAACCGACAACAACTCCAGAACCGACAACGACTCCAGAACCGACAACAACTCCAGAACCGACAACCACCCCAGAACCGACAACAACTCCAGAACCAACAACAACTCCAGAACCAACAACAACTCCAGAACCATGTGGATCAAGTGCGCTGGAAGTCATTGTAGTAGTTGATGGATCTGTGAGCGTATCAGACCAGCAATTCAACACGCTGAAATCGTCAGTAGTGGACATGATTACTGAACTTTCAGTGAGTGAGCAGGTTACGAGGTTTGGGTTCATCCTGTACAGTACAAACATAGACTGGATTATTAACCTTAGCGGGAATCAGGAATACCTAACGACCACCATAAGTGGATTGAGTCATCCTAAAGGAACCACCAACACCGCTACTGGTATCTCCAACATGAGTATTATGAAGTACAACTACGGCCGTAACGGCGTTCCAGTTGTCGGTATAGTCATCACCGACGGAAAATCCAATAACCAACAGTCTACTATTACGGCTGCTGACAATGCTAAGAATATTTACGGCATTGACTTGTATGCTGTTGGTATTGGGTATTCTGTCGCCAATACAGAACTCCAAGACATTGCCTCTAATCCAGATCAAGTCATCCTGTTGAAGGATTTTACGATGCTCAGCGACAGACTGAAAGAATTGGCCGGAGACATCTGCTATAGTAAGTATTTTGTATAGTGCAGTCGGACGTCGATGGCGGTCGTGGTCGTCATGTAATGTCATTCTTGTCGACCCAGCTGTAAATGTGTACGGATAATCCGGGAAAGATCAATGCCAAGGGGTTTGGTCAAGGACCTGCTGGGAGGACCACCCATACAACCTCGTGCCAATTACCATATATAGAATGAAAATCTGACTCAATTCTTTTTGAAAACCTAGATTCATCATAAAAAGACATAAGTTTGAAAAATGCTGTTATATTTATTTGATTCAATTAGGGTACCCAGAAAGCACCAGACCACCAGCGACCCCTCAAGCTGAAGCCAATCCAAGTACAGAAAGAACTGAGACTCCTTCACATCCAAACTCACCCACGGTTGCTGTTCCAACTGCAGCTCCGACGATCCGACCAACCAAGGCACCAACCAAGGCACCTACACCAGCACCAACGGAACTACCAACGGATGCGATAACAAATAGTCCAACGACTACGTCTACCTTCAAACCAGAACCAACAAAACAACCTATCGTAGATCCCCAATGTGTGGGATGCGTCCTAAATAATGGCATCGGATACAACCAGCATAGATCAGACTGTAATAAATTTATACAGTGTGAACGGATCAGGGATGCCGTCGTTGCTCATGAGAAAAAATGTTCTTTTGGACTGTTTTGGGATCAGGAGATATTGGCCTGTAATTTCCCTGGTGAAGTCGATTGTGTGAACGGTACGTCATGTTTTTTTACTCCAATCACAGTCATTGTACCAAGCAATCTGTTAGCTAGTTAGACACGATAGTTTGGTTTTCTCTAGTCTCATTCTGACTTCAGAAAACTTTCATTGTACCAAGCAATCTGCTGGCTAGTTAGACACGATAGTTTGGTATACTCTAGTCTAATTCTGACTACAAAAAACTGTCATTGTACCTCACAATCTACTAGCTAGTTAGACACGATAGTTTTGTATTCTCTAGTCCCATTCTGACTACAGAAACTACCTTTGTACTAAGCAATCTGTTAGCTAGTTAGACATGCTAGTATGGAATGATCTAGTCTCATTCTGGTCACAGAAAACTATCATTGTACCAAGCTAGCTAGCTAGTTAGAAACGTTAGTTTGATTTGCTCTAGTTATTTTATAACCACAGAAAAGTGTTATTGAATCTGGCACACTTAGTTCGCTTGTCGGAAACTAAAAATGCGTAAGTTCTGTTTTGTGGTTTCCACCCACAGTCAGTTCAAACTATCAGTGAGAGGTTCGGGAACGCATCGACAACGCAACCATCTGGCTAAGTGCACCATTATCCATTTCAGATCCATGTCGACAAGATAGCATCAGAAGCTATAAGAAGGGAGGTAACTGCCGACAGTTTATGGTCTGTGAGAATAGAAGATCTGTAGGAAGATGTTGTAACAGTGGATCATCCTACCAGTCCGACTCTGCCTGTATCTCCGACTCTACCTGCCGCGACTCCTGTACTGGGAAAATAGAAACTAGAGGTAGTCAATGCTATTAAAGATATAATATATGATAAAGAGCACTCAGAAAGTTGAAATCCAACTCTAGTACGTATAAAGCTGCCGAGACAGAAGACAAAATATAGAGCAATTGGGTGGCAATATAAAACTCTAATTAATTTAATATTATTTCTGCTTAGTCTTTTCATTTAGTTTTCTGTCATTTTGCTTGAGTAAAACTCTATTTTTATCCATTCATTTTATTTCAGTTTGTTCCAATAAGGCTGTATATAACGATCCATGGTCATATGACTGGATAGTGGGTAGCACTATCTACAGAATGCCGTGCCCGCCTGGTACTGCTTACAGCTCTGTTCACTGTTCTTGTATTCACTCTAAACTAACCAATACACAGCATCGTAAGTATTGAATGAGAGTGGTAATTTGGTGAATATGTCACAGAAGTTTGGTCACATTGAAAATTGGTCATATGATCAATAGCTATTCAAAGTTAAGTCACAGAGGATTGGTCACAGTACATTTGGTTAGAGAACAATTGGTCACAGGACATATCGTCACAGGTCACAGAACATTTAGTGATATAGAAATTGATCACATGGAATTTTGGTAATGTAAAAATTAGGTCACATGGAAGATTGGAAAATTGGTCACAATCATTTACTCACAAAGTAATTTGGTCACATGCCATTTGGTCACAGGCCATTTGGTCACAGGACATTTGGTCACAATACGTATCGTCACATGATATTAGGTCACAGGAAATTTCGTCACAATTAGTTACAGGACATTATGGTTCTAACGTAACCAGGTCACAAGGTAATTGGTCACAGTAGTCTACTTGAAACATGTCATTTCATTTCGTTTTAAATTGTAGAATGTAAACCTATAGTGGATATTTCATTCGATGAAGCTGAACCAGGAGAATATGATAATCATGGGGCGGTGATACGAGATGGTTTGGCGTATCTTAATGGACAAAGCAGTATCAAGATATTACGTTTAGCTAACGTTGAATTCAGGCATGTATCCGCAATAATTTTACTTTTTTGTTACCATTATAATCCCTTTTAAAACAAATTGTAACATGTCTTAGTATATATTTATATTTACCAGGTCTAAACTGAAGATCGAGGTCCGATATAAAGCCGCGGATGACGATACTGACGAACAAGCAGTGGTCACTAATGGAGACTGTGGAGAAGATGCTTCTATCATCATCACTACGACTGGTTCCATGACCCATTTTGGACTGACAGATGATTCTAGGCACCGCCAAGATATTTACCAATATTCTGCTGTAAGTGGGTTCTTTTACACTTGAAGATATGATAACACCCCCCCCCCCCCACCCCCTCCCCCCCACCTATAGAAACACCAATGCATCTTGTGTTTCTTTCTTTTTTATCTTTGTCACCCTAAGTCCTAAATCTACCTGAAATCCTCTACATTTTGGCTTGTATTGCAGAACGACTGGAAGGTGGCCAATCTGGACTACAATAAACACACTATAACGGGATCGGTAGACGGGATTAAACACGAAACCACTGGCTCAGGTAGGCAGAAACATTCTCCTATAGGTAAATATGGGTCCAATGACACCCTCACTCCCCCTAACCCTAAATGGATAGCCTGTGAAATACTAATACCAAGAGGCGAGAGACAGGATCCACATCAACGCAAGTTGTAAGACATGAGTCCCAAGTAAACCCTATGTAGCCATACTGCTTAAATGGAAATAACAGACATAAATATAATTTCACAGCCATTTTGAATCTCTTTTAGACTTAATGAGTCGAATTTTTAAAAACGCTACAATATGCAACAAACAAAGCCTTCGATTCACATTTAAAGCCATTTCTAAGCCTTTAAAAGAGTCTAAAAAGAGATTCGCAGTGGCTGTGAATTGTGTTCGCGTGTGATATTTCTTTGTAAGAAGCATGCTTAGTTTCGTTTGTTTTCATAGGTAGCGTCACTAAACCTGCAACTTCTATAAGTACCACCAAATTGATCTGTGATTCAACCAGATTGAAATATTGTATGTTTGTTTTAGGCTCCATTTTAAGATCTAAATGTGCTTTACAACTTGGTCATGGAACTGGATTCAAAGATTTCCATGGTTACATAGATTATGTAAGTTTTGTTTTTGCTTCTCTTTTTTAAAAAAAATAAAAACCAGAGTCAGAGCATTGAATCAGATATAGAAAGACAGGTCGTGGAGCATGAAAGAGTTCTTGACCTTTTGTATTGGGGTCGAGGTGTATTCTGAACAGTATTCTGGTGCCACTCTGCGTTGTCAACTCAGCATCCTTCTTTCACTGACAATGATAACATTAAATTACACCATTCCAATTTCCAATCAGACGTCTATGATTTCTGCAATTCCACGAAAACTAGTGTTTGATGACGTCACTAATTACGAAGGCCTTATGTCATACAAGTATATTTCGCGATAAGTGACGTCATACAATATAATTGTATATTTAGTATATTTCAATATATTTATAATGTTTTTATTGTAGATATTGATATCAGAATGTTGAAAATAGAGTAAAATAATTTTTCTTAATATTGTTGTTTAATTTACGTCCCATACGCATAGACTTCATGTCAATATAACCAGTAGCGGCTCCATTCTATTTCCCATATACCCACAACTGTCAATATCCCACATACCCACACCTGTCAACATCCCATATACCCACACCTGTCAATATCCCATGTACCCACACCTGTCAATATCCCATATACCCATACCTGTCAATATCCCATATACCCACACCAGTCAATCAGAAAGAGAGGTATATCATACAGTGAAAAGAAATTAGATATAGATAATTCTTCCATAAATCCCCAACTATATTTATGTACAACAATTCTACAATTGCGAACAATCAATTTCAGTATAATTTTCTTTTTTTGGATCGGAGGTTGTACGATTTGAGACGCTGGGTTTTATAGAGTCCATGTCGTCCTGTAAACTTTTTGCAACTTCAAGATATCCAGATTGATTTAAACAAAAGATAAATGTTGGTAATGCTGAGTTACTGGAGTAAGATAATATACATGAAGTACCTAAGAACTTTGCGATTGCCTTCTGATCTTAATTTCGATTCTATCTCATCCATCTCATTCAAATCTATAACTTCTGTACTAAACAGATGATCTATGATTTTTTCAACTCGAATATTCTCCATGATCATCAGGAAGTTTTTCGTCAATATTTTCTCGTGCCAGCTCGGGATTTTACCCCTCCGTTTTACATCATTCTTTTCTGAAAAGACAAGTTACATTATCAAGTATCCAAAGCAAGGTAAAATTAAAAAATCCGATCAAGCCACACTCAAATACCATGACGACACAGCCAAAATATCCTCAAGCCACACCAAATCTCTTCAAACCGAACCCAGAGATCTTAGCCCCATACCCTAAGCCTTTCGGCTACATCAAAAACTCTTTGAGCCACAACCAAAACTCATCAAGCAACCCCCACTTACATTTTTGTATGTCATGCTCTCAGATGGGTCTGTTTATGTTGGACCACGCTTATTTGAATATGAGTAACCTTGAGCCACCTCAACCCAACTAAAATTATATTACAATTACTTTTCGTTATTTTTGTTTTTGGTCTCCATTGTACCGAGAAAAAAAAATAATAACTTTAAAAGAAATTGTTTTCTAAATTTGATTAAATTGGGACCACCATATCCATTTAATAATTTAAACTGTTACTTACCAAATTTAATGATGAAGTCCTTGCCTCTAACACAGGGTTTGTTTGGTGTTTCTTGTTCTTCTCTGGTTGTTGTCTGACTCGATATCTGTAGTATATATGTCGAGCATTTATTTGGTGTTTCTTGTTCTACTTTGTTTCTTGAGGTCTGACATGATTTCTGTTTTTGTTTCCAACTTGAACCAAACATTCCAAAAGGACTCCTGTGATATATTTCATACAATCCAACATGACGGTCATATTGTTTCTCCTCCGAACTTTCGTTATGATGGCCAAAATGACGCATTTCATCATATCCAGCCATCATCCGGCCATGTTGTCTCTCCTCCGAGCTTTTATTTGGTGTTTCTTGTTCTACTTTTTTTCTTAAGGTCTGACATGATTTCTGTTTTTGTGTCCAAATTAAACCAAACACTTTAAGAGAGCCAAAATGACGTATTTCATCATATCCAGCCATCCGGCCATGTTGTCTCTCCTCCGAGCTTTTATTTGGTGTTTCTTGTTCTACTTTTTTTCTTAAGGTCTGACATGATTTCTGTTTTTGTGTCCAAATTAAACTATGACGGTCATGTTGTTCTGCTATTTTTTTTGTCTCATAGTATGCCCGTAGTCTATTTCTATAACTTCGGTTTGGTTTTTCCCGTATTCTATTTTCCCAACTTTGGTTTAGTGTTTCTTGGTCTTTTCCGGTTGGTGTTATCTTACTCAATGCCTGCAGTCTATTTGTTAAATATTTGGTTGGTGATTCTTGTTCTGCAGAATTTGTTCCCAGACGCGATTCCACCAGCCGTCTATTTGCCAAACTTAAACCAAACACTTTAAGAGGGCCAAAATGACGTATTTCATTATATCCAGCCATCCAGCTGTGCACGCAGTTTTCCTGAATACGGTGGTTGGCGACAGTATACGAAAATATATCGGGTGGTCCAGAAAAAACAATAACACTTTTCATTTCAAGATTTTTCAAAAAGTTTCAAAGCTATGATCATAAAATTCAGACCTCATTTTTTCTAAATTACAGTATAAAGGTTGATCCACTTTGAAATACCAGCCATTTTAAAATTCTTTGTCAAAAAATGTAATGAAATTTCATACAAAAAGAATGGCCACCCACCAACTCCGGATTTACAGAGTGTTTCCTCCAGCTAACAAAATTAACAAGATGTCTAATATCCATATAAATATGAGGTCGTTATGATCTCCCCTTTAATACTTTATGAATAATCATGAATTGAAAAGTGATATCGTTTTATCTCGGCCACCCGATATTATTAATTCGAACTAATATTCCATATCCATAAGATCTGCATGTTTGAGCACAAGTCAAAGTAGCTGAACGAAATGGTATAGTCTATACACCTGCAATGAGTAGGCCTATACCTACACAATGAATAGATCTCATATGAATAATTTCTTATAAATAAGGAAATATTTAACTATTTATAATCTTTCTCAAATACTGAGAGCTTTTTTTAAATACTTTCATGTAACGAAAAAAATGTATAAGAAAAGATGGTCACACACGTATCTATGGAAATATAAATTATATCAGATATAATATTGAAGATGGGTTAATCATATCATTATGTTCTTATTAAGAGTTTTGACCAATCATAAATGTTCGTGTTTGTACAGTCTGGATAAACCAAAAAAAAAGACTTTTTGATCTTTCTTGATCTGTCACTCATTGGATTTCATGTCGTCTACGTCATTTACGTCATTGGGTTTCATATCGTCCTTTAAACAATTTGCAATGAAATCATATCCAGTTTGATTTAAACAATGGAGAAATGATGGCAATATTGTTTGAGTGGAATTTAACAGGATTTTCATCAAGTATGTCAAAGCTTCTCTATTTCCCGCTGATCTCAATTTCGTGTTTATCACATCCATCTCATCCCAATCAATAAGTTGTTTACTATACAGATGATCCACGATGTCTTTAACTCGAACATTTTCCATAATACTCGGGTAATTTTTCCTCAATGTTTCGTGCCAGTTCGGGGTTTTAACCCTTGGTTCTACACCACTCTTTTCTGAAAATACACCAAAATATTTTCAAGCTACACAAACACCCAATCTCTTCAACCTACATCCCAATCCCTTCAAGCCACACCCCAATCTCTTCAAGCCACACCCCAATCTCTTTAAGCCAGACCCTAATATCCCCAAGCCACAACCCAATCTTTTCAAGCTATACACCAACAAGCCACACCCCAAATTCTTCAAGTCACACTAAAATCTCTTTAAGCTACATCAAAATCTCATCTCTCCTTTTTATGACGCACTATGGATATATTGAACCACGCCTTATTTAAAGGGTCAGTATATGGTAAGGGAAAAATACTTTTTTATTTCGATCTAAAATTTCCATTAATTTAGTACTTAACTTTTAATAAAACCAGACTGGACGTTCGAGGTCTACTGGACGACCTATTGTATGCTTGTGTTAGATCTATTATAGTCGTTAACAAAAGTTGGTCTGTTACCTACCAGATCTCTCAAAGTCGCCATCATTCTCTTTCTCTTCTTCAACTCGAGGTTTCTTTCGCTTTTGTTTACGTTTTCGTCTCTTCTTTGGTTCAATGTCTTCCAGTTGCCTTTGAAGTGAAGCTCTAGCTTCTTTAAGTATCAGTTCTTTGTATTCTGGCATCACAATATCGGCCACGAAAAATAATACATAACGATCTTCGGGTCCAGTTTCTAGATACTTTTCAATCTCAGCACGACTACGTTTACGTTTCTTATTAGGTTTGACGTTTTGCAGGTCGGCTACAAGTTTGTGAAATAAGTTCTCAGCTTCTCTAAATAACGGTTCTTGGTACTGTGGCTTCACTATATTTGCCAAAACATCTATTGCATAACAAATTAATAGCGCATTAGGATTATTTTGGTGTATTCTGTCCAGATAACTCTCCACCTTAACACGATAACTTTTTCGTTTTCGTTTCTGTTTAATGTCTTGCAGGTCAACTAAATCTACTAAAAGTAATTCTCGATATACAGCTTCATCTTCTTTAGATAAATTAGGTATTTGTATTTTGTTGTCTGCCATCGTTTGAGTACCAAAAATGTATTCCCTATATGAATACGAATTATATTACAGATATTGGACCAACAATATGAAATGATTTAAAGGGACAGTGCACCATTTTTTGACCAATGATAGTTTAGTCTCAGAAACTGGATTTTTTTAGCTGAACTAGTCATTAATAGTGTTCGCAGCTCATTGTCAAAAATGTGAGCAGAATTATTTGTGTTTAAAAATCAAAATGACAACTCGTCAATTTAAGATACTCCGTGATAAATAGAAAAGACATATACAGAAAGAGTGAGTAAAATTCCTAGTTTGTGATATCTTTAAAGGAAATATGTGATTTTCGTACTTCTGAAGACTATTTACATATATTCAAGGCTAAAATCAACCCCCAAAATGGCACACCAGTCCCTTTAAAAAGGCTACCGTACTCGTCTTTTCTTGAGTCTCTGCCATATTATAGAAAAGACATCTATAGAAAACCGGCATTCAAATACCATCCCTACTTCCTAGCCTACTTCTGCCCGATATCTTTGAGTTGAAAAAAATTTCTTACCCTTAATTCTGCAGTAGGTTATGTCTATGAAGCTTCATATAATAGTCAAAAATTAAAGATGGTGAAACGGGGATGTACAAAAGCGTACTTTCCGATTATCTATTTATAGTACAAGATATGGGTACTGTCAATGTAGCCTCTATCATCAAATCCTACTTCCTCATATGCACAGCTTGTTCGGTTCAATCTTCGCCAATGTTCGTTAGTTTCCGTGAGTTGAACATTGACACGGCCATTAAAGATTGACGTTTTGTCAGGTAAATTGGCAAGAGCAGACAACTCTCTCTCTGGGGAATGATTTTGATTGGCTAGAATAGCGTAATGATTTGCACGCGGTGTAATTAAAATATTCGCAAAATGAAATAGTTTTCATTTGAAAATATTATTCTACTATAATAACAGTATTTAATGAATGATAAATAGTTGTTTTATTATGATATATGTCAAATATAAATTATCTAGTAACAGCTTAATAAATATAGATTCACAGACTGGATGACATATTTTATTATTAAAGATCTAATATGAAAAATAGTCATTTGAACGGAAACAACTATATTATTTTCAATATGGCGAGGGTAACTAGCAGCATTCTAGTTTATAAGTTGATACGAGTTTGGTATGGGATTCCTGTAATATATTTACAGAACTTTTGTTTGTTGTTTGTTGTTTCTTGCCTTGCTTTGTTTCATGCCTTAAATGCCTTCGAATTGCCTTATATGGGCCTTGACCTTGGCACAACTAGACGTTTTGGCCAAATAAAAAATGTAAAATAAAATGATTATGATAAAAGTCGTCATATCAGTGTTGGTCTTTTTTGAACGGCTAAAATTGTGGTTCGGGTTTTTAAAATTTATCGAAAATAGGCTACAATAAATTTGATTGGATGTAAAATCTAAATGGCCCACCCATCAGTAGCCTTATTCTATTTTGATTAGTCAACATTTACCTATCATATAACATTGAGCCGCCTTTCAAACGCCTATATGATTCATACATATTTTCATATTATTCTTTTCAATGTTCCTATGAAAGGGAGTTTAAAGGCACATTCCGCCTTTTTTATAAAAAGTTTTCGTTGACAAAACATCGTAAATTATACTTGAAAATATTTCTAAAGTATGCTATTTATATCTACGTATCTTCTTCGTCAATTTTAATTTGTTTTAAAAGGGTTAATTAAAAACGGAGAGTATTAATTGTTAATTAAGCAATTTGACATAGTTTTGGTGTTAAGGAGTTACGAGAATTCCCATAAAAAGCACGGTCCTCGGTCATGAAGTTAGAACTATATATTTCTAAGTGCTGATAAATTTTGTTTGACTTTATAATGGCTCGATATAAGTTGAAACCTATCGAATACCTAGTTTTAAAAAGCATAACAAACTTTAAAAGTTTACGCAATCTTAGGTAAATATTTTTGGCGCTAAAAAATAAACGGCTTGATTTTTTTCAGATACGTTAAAGGGTCAGGTGAACTACAGGTGCAAGACTAAAATCAACCCACCAAAATGACACACCTTTCCCTTTAAGGGAGACTTTTCTGATTTTGGTGTATAATTTGGTGTATAAATTTCAGCTAAAAAAATTGTCGACCTTCAAAAAAATAAAAAAAACGGTCGATCGGGTGAGTAATGACAATATTATATTCAGTTAAATTCAAATTTATAAATACAAATACTTCCCTACTCGTCATTACAGGTTTCACACAACAAACGACAAGAGGGTTGAGACAAAATATAGCTGTTGTCACGTAAGAAATTATTTTCATTTGGACTGGAGCAGGAGAGAAAAGGGTGGGGTAAGGTGGGGGTGGGGATCCCATATGGTCCTATTATGTATGATAATTTAACTGATACTTTTTGGCACCAAAATATCCTTTTTATCCCCTGTGTTGTGCTTGTTACATGATGATTAAAATAATGACAATAATATATAGAATTGAATAAGGCCATTTATTTTCTCATAAATGACAGAAAAATCAAAATAAGTATAATAAGAATTCACGAATAATATGTTACATAAATAAATCTTTCTTTCTTTTATACCTTCTTACTCATGGACTCAGGGAAAATAGTAATCGGAAGGTACCAATCCGGATAATTTGTGCTAATTTGGGAACTTATTGATTCCTAATTGAAAATTTTATTGTCAAAGGTAAACAAAGTATATTATCTACTAGTGTTAAAGAGTATATGCTCGTGTTATCTACTGTATTCATAATTCCTGACAGTACACCACACCTGTGGGGTCGGGGAAGAATAATAGTAAGATTTCGACAACTGTATTTTCGTTATAACTTCATAATACATGTACATTCAAGATGCAGTCTTTTCCTAGAATTTTCTTTAGTCTCTATTATCATGTCTCACATTCAAGTAAACAGTTCACCTAGTTCAGATTATCAAGTCACAATGCGTCTTATATAAGGCCATGGAATTTCATTGGTCTAATATCTGTTAAAGGATCCACGTTTCGCACCTTCATACCACTTTAAAGTCTGGAAATCCCATTTCGAATCTCTTAAAGTGTGGTTTCTGTAGTTTTTTATTGCATTGCTTTTGTCTAGGTTTCCATCTTACCACGAAATAACCGTTTGGACTGATCATAAACAATGGCAGAGAACAAAAAACTACAGGCGGCCATGAAATTTGGTAGGTAGCAATATAAACTTATAGTTTGTCTGAAACAGAACTGATTAAATACAATAAGCGTTGACTAATAAATGTAACCAAACCCATCAGAGGTTGTGTCACAAAAAGTCTAGATCAGATTTGGGTGTGGAGTGGTGTGATGATATTTGATTGCAGCATGTGTTGGAATTTTGACTTATTTCTTTAATTTCAAAACTTATAACGTCATTTATAATTTCAGATGGTAATGATAACGCTAAGGGAAGTATTCCGAGCGGGCATAATGATATATTAGTGAAAAATCACACGAGTATCTTGGAAGTTAAAGTCAACGATATCATGGATCATCTATATGGTAAAAAAGTTATAGATGAGAATGATATGGACGTGATAAAAACCAAATTAAAAGCAGAGGGAAATAAGGAAGCTCTGGGATACATATTGGAAATCCTCAAAAACCGCGGTAGCAGAGCATTGCCAATATTTATACAATGTTTATCTGAAGCTAAATATATTGAACTTGCAAAACGCTTGCAACTCAGCATGGAAGATCCAAAGGATAGCTTGAAACTTGACATGAAAGTTAAACAACCACAGTAATAATTCTGAGATATCTATATTTTAATCTTATTATCAAATTATTAAATCTTTGATGTAAATAATTTTTTTATTTGATTAACTATTACAAGATATAGAAAAGACATTTTGCTCCCTAACCTGAAGGTCCAGGGTTCAATCAAGGCATAGGTCGACATATTACCTCAACTTCAGTTCTTCCTGTCAGTGATGCAGGTCGGAAGGACTGACAAGGAAATAGTGTCTAGTCGTTCTGATGGGACAATAAACTGCTACATGCTGTGTTCGTTAAAAATCCGTCGACAGTTGGATATCAAAAAAGAGTACGTGACAATTTAAACATAGTACCAGCAAACAATGACTGACATTAATGCGATTCGTGGTTCTGTTTTAATTTCCCACATTCCCCTATCTCTTTATTGTTCGTGGCTAAAGAGATACATGTAGGCCCCTTTAAATATACTGTACCAACAAAGTTGACAAAAAGTCCTGTTATAATCGCACGATACCGGCACATGTCATGTCATGAGTTCGTGACAAGAGGACCAGTGTGTCATGTGTCAACCTGCTATAACAGACACTGCAGTCTGTTGGTTACGTTTTAGTAGGAAAGATGCATGAGATTGGGTACGTTTTGGGGAAGAATAAAGAAAAAGCAAGCCGGAAGTAGAGTAGTAAGAGGGAGATACATGAACCGAGAAACATGGACTCACTCCACTAATTCATTTGCCATCTCTTCCCATGTTAAAACACGAAATTCAACCTTCTACAACTTTTTGGCTGTGGTTCCAGCAATTCTATTAAAGCTAAATATTTTATGACGTCACCCTCGCAAAGGTTTTATGTGATACAAGCAATTTTGCGTAGGTGACATCATAAAACACTTAGTTTTAGTGGAATTGCAAGAACCATAGATGTCTGATTGAAAATTGGAATGGTGCAAATTGATGCTATCAGAGCAGAGTTAAAACATTACAGGGTCTTACAATACAAGGTTTTGCGGACAAAAATTATTGAGGAATGAAATGAACACTTTTTCAGCTTATCGATGTTTTTTTCTGTTTATCTTAACATCATACATCCTACTCCAATAGAAGTTTTATTCCCAACCATTTTTCTGTTGGTTTGCCACTCATATAGGCTACATAGTCATTTGAGAAAGTTGATTCATACTCTTATTAAAAATGAACGGAACTAAATAGAATTATCATGAATTATTTTTGGTCACGGAACAAAGGCAGTAATCTGCTAGCAATATGCAGTAGCCATTAATTTGACATGTTAATGTAACAACATCTGCATATTGAACATTTGAACTTGAATTTTAACTCATGTCTTGTCATTAATCCTATTGACTTTCTCTGATGAATATAATACATTATTACACGAATGTCTTTACAGACTAAATATAATCGTATATAAGTCGGCCATTCTCGCTACGTCTGACAATAATCTCGTATGCATCAGGCGGATAAATCGGACTACTTTCAAATATCAGGTGATGAGACAATAGCTAAATTTTCGTCTTCATCGTTGACATCTGACTAGTCTGTGACATCCAGACTTCTCCTGCGACGACGATAGAGTCTTCAAGGGAGTTAACTAACATCTGACGAACTATATTTTGTATCACGGAAGTAACATCCGCCTAATATTTAAAGAAGATTTGCTTCCAGCTGCAACGAGGTTATTGTCAGACAATGGCAACCGTAGAAACGAATGGGCTAAATATATACATCGATCTGGACAGAAGGCACATTATACATTGAAAATATTAAAGAAATTAGATATAGATAATTCTTCCATATATCCTCAACTATATTCATGTACAACAATTTTACAATTTTTTGACTCCGATGCAAAAAACTAATTTCAGTATAATTTTCCTTTTTTGGATCGGAGGTTGTACGAGGCATCTGTCTCTGAGCAATTTGAGACGCTGGGTTTTATAGAGTTCATGTCGTTCTGTAGATGTTCTGCAAGTTGATGATATCCAGTTTGATGTAAACATTGAATAAATGTCGGCAATGCAATGTGACTTGAATTGAAGAGAGTATACATTAAGTATCTCAGGGCATCTCGATTGCCTTCTGATTTTAATTTAGACACCATCTTATCCATCTCAACTAAGTCTATAACTTTTTCACTATACAGGTGATCCATGATCTCGTCAACTCGAATATTTTCCATAATCAACAGATAGTTTTTCCTAAATACTACCTCTTGCCAATTTGGGATTTTACCTCTACGTTTTACATCACTTTTTCCTGAAATAAAACCAAAATCTCACAAAGCCACCCACAGAACATTATATATCAACACCGATCAACACATCTCATCTGGACTTTTTTATTGCGAATCATGGTTAGATTGAACCATGCCTTGTTAAAATACAAGTTCCTTTTGGCTGACCTTTTAATAATAAGTCAGATCCACTACGGAAGTGGCTATTTAGAAAATGGCGTGGTAAGTGTGGTAAATAAATTTAGTCATGATTTGATATTCCTTTCGGAAAAATGTATTAAAACCACCTAAATATTGAAAATAACGATTTTGCATTCAAAAACTCAAAATGTTAATCAAAAATGTCCTTTTTTGAAAAATAAAAATGTGTTTGTTTACAAATAAATTTCAAGTCCGACTGTGACATAAGCCTAATTTAACACACAGTGGCGTATAGCAATAAGGTTCTTATGACTATTTACCACGCCACTGCCTTAAATAAGTTGTTTTGTTACCTACCAAATCTATCGATGTCCTTCTCTTCATCACATAGTTTGTTTCCGTTTTGTTTTCGAAATCGTTTTTGCCTCTTCTTTGGTTTAATGTCAAGAACGACACCTACTTGTATAGCACTGCAGCATTCCAACTGACCCTCCTCCAGTAAAATGTCGTGAACGTCATCCGGTGGCTCATCAGTACACAACCCCCACCGACTCTCCACCAGCAAAATATCAAGCACGTCATTTACTTGTATAGCACGACAGCATTCCCACCGATTCTCCTCTATTAAAATGTCGAGAGGGTCATCCAGTGGCTCATCAGGACACAAATCCCACTCACTCTCCTCTATTAAAATGTTTAGATGGTCATCCGGTGGCTCATCAGGACAAAAATCCCACTCACTCTCCTCTATTAAAATGTCGAGAGGGTCATCTGGTGGCTCATCAGGACACAAATCCCACTCACTCTCCTCTATTAAAATGTTGAGAGGGTCATCCGGTGGCTCATCAGGACACAAATCCCACTCACTCTCCTCTATTAAAATGTTTAGATGGTCATCCGGTGGCTCATCAGGACACAAATCCCACTCACTCTCCTCTATTAAAATGTTTAGATGGTCATCCGGTGGCTCATCAGGACACAAATCCCACTCACTCTCCTCTATTAAAATGTTGAGAGGGTCATCTGGTGGCTCATCAGGACAAAAATCCCACTCACTCTCCTCTAGTAAAATGTTGAGAGGGTCATCTGATGGCTCATCAGGACAAAAATCCCACTCACTCTCCTCTAGTAAAATGTTGAGAAGGTCATCTGGTGGCTCATCAAGGCAAAAATCCCACTCACTCTCCTCCATTGTATTATAATCATTCATTGAAACAGAGCTCCAACAAAGTATTGATACCAAAAACCATTTTATCACTGAATAGAAACAAAATAATATTTAAACCTCTAAATAATCGTGACTAAAAATAAGTGCATGAGTTAAAATACACTAACGTTTGTTATGTTAAGGGAGGAGGGGACAACTATGTTAAGGGGGAGGAGGGGGGTGTTCTTAACTACGAGCATTCTATTGGGTATAGAAGATTAAGACGTTAAAATCGTTAAAATGTCCCATGCCCCACGCTCTAAAACCACAATCCCCCTCAGTCCCGGTGCCTCCAGAAAAAATGGTTTGTACTTTCATTGGCATCCCACTTCATTTCTAATAAATTTAATAAGTATGATTTTTACACTTTAAGCCCTAAAATATGTTTCAGAATGCGACAAATCATTTCTATTTTTCAAACACTCTCAGACCTTCCGCCTATGAGTTTTCATAAATCTGCCGCATTTTGAATTTCACCGGCAACAGTTGACCACGGTAGGCTGGCGCCGCCACTGAGCCAAAACCCCACTTCTGTCCCATTTCTTTCAGTTGAAAATAATTTCTTACCCTCAATTCTGCAGCTTTATGTAAATCTACTCAATTAAATCAAAGATGGCGAAATATGACTTTCCAATTATCTATTTATAGTAGGTCCTTAAATCTAATTGATGATATAAATGATGACAAAAATAAATATAGATAGCCTAGTTCTTGTATTGTTCGCCTTTTTTTTTTATATCATGATACATATATGTATGATAATTTAACCTTTATTGACATTTTTTGACCTATATCTTTTGACATGAATAATGTAGAAGCTTGAAATTTAAAACATAACATTTGGAATATCTATTACCCTATGCAAAAAAAATTAAGGTGGGTATGGCACATCTGTCGTGTGCAATTAGAAATTTTGATGACGTATATCTCTTGATCTTGACCTTTTTAGACCTTCTCCTTTACAAGATCAAAGGTCCTTGACCTTAACTATCTGCTGATACTTTCATTTGTGAGGTCTGATGTCTACTTCCGGTATTAGAATCTTCTAAAAAATAAAAAATTATCAACTTTAGACTTGTTCTTGCGCTTGACCTAATTATCGTCGATGGTTGATTTTTTCAGGGTCTTTAGCAAATTGCTACATTTGCAAAGTCCCACTCTGTGCCACGAGTGGCTCTAGTTTTTTTTTTTTTAAACAATATTTATTCAAGAATTACAAATATTACAATATACATATAGATAAACATATGGTTTTGGAAACAAGCTTTAAGCTTATATAAATCCATTACCATTCAAAATAGTTACAATACGATACAATACAAATTAGGGAAAAATTTACAAACTATTTACACTAAATGAGGTTCTCTCAACTGTATCAAGGTTGTAACACAGCAGGTATGGTTCAGTAAATTTAATTGTATGGATGAATCAACTAAGCCTCAATTTAACGAACAATGCATCAAATAAGCCTCAATTTAACGAACAATGCATCAACTAAGCCTCAATTTAACGAATAATGCATCAAATAAGCCTCAATTTAACGAATAATGCATCAAATAAGCCTCGACATAACATCAATAGAACGAGTAATAAAGCAGTTAAGCCTCAGAAGGACTAACAATAGAGCAGTTCAGTCTCAATAGATCAGATAAGTTTCAATAGATCAGATAAGTTTCAATAGATCAGCTAAATTTCAATAGATCAGATAAGTCTCAATAGAACGAACAATAGAGGGCAGGAGATAGGAAATAAGATAAGCAGTAGATCAGGTAGGCCTCAAACGGTCTAACTATAAATCAGGTAAGCCTCAATGCAACGAACAATAGACCAAGTAAGCATCAGAACAACCAACAATACACCAGGCAAGCTCAGTAGAGCGAACAACAGGTCAGGTAATCCCGAATAGAACGAACCGTAGATCAGGTTATCCTGAATTATACGAACAATACATCAGATATGTCTCAATAGCAAGAAAAAATAGATCAGGTGATCCTAAGTAAAACGAACAATGGATCAGAACAGTATTCAACAACTGTTAACTCGGATAGATCTGGTTATAATGAATATAATAAAGACCCAAAGACGCAATGAAGCAGGTGTGGTTAAAAACGATGCGTTAGTTTAATATATTCATGAACAATGCTAATGATAGTGGTGTTCTCTTTAAGACTAAGGTCTGGGGATCCCTGTAGGAGTAACTTAGTGTCTAGAAATGCATAGGAAGAGTATGAAGCGTCTTGGAACGTTGAGTATGGTAACGTGGACAGTAAAGAAGGAAGTGATCAGCATTTTCAAAGGAGTGGCCTCATGGACATGATGGATCTTCAGTAAGGTGTCGACCAAACATGTGGCAATGGAGTTCACTCATACTGTTTCTGATTCTACAATGAATTATTTCTAATGCTCTGTCTCCAAGGTAGAAGTAGCTGGGAATCTGAGTATCTTTAGCTTTTAACTGTTGTTTAAATGATTGAATGGATGTAGCCGTTTTCATGTACTCAGGGAGATTATTCCAATCACGAATTGCTGATGGAAGAAAGGATTCCTGGAAAAGGGTACTCTGGCAGAATATTGATCTTAGTTGATCCTGGTTGCGGGTGTTGTAGGTATGAATGTCGCCAGTGTGGCGGGGCACTAATATATTCAGATAAGGTGGTGCAAGGTGGTGTATCATCTTGTAGAAGAGAGTGAGCTTGTGCTGATAGCGCCTGGTTTTCAATGGTAAAAAGCCAGTTTCTTTATATAGTATCTTATTAGATGTACCCCGTGTCAGGCCTGAGATGGTTCGCAATGCGTCAAGTTGAAGATTTTCGAGGCGTTCAGCATCCCGAATTGAGCAATTGTCCCAAACGACATCATTAAAGTCAAAGAGTGGTTGGATAAATGACTTATATAGCTTTTCTAAGGATTTTCGAGAAAGGCGATATTTCAGTGATCTTAAGCAGTCGATGGATTTTCTTGTTTTAGAAATGATGTGATCGATATGTTTGTTCCACTTGCCATCTGCACTGAAAATTATACCTAAATGCTTATGCTCGTCAGAATCAAAGATTGAGGTGCTATTGAAAAAGAGGGAGAAATTTGATGCATTAGTCTTTTTGCTGAAGGTAATGCTTTTAGTTTTTTCTGGACAAAAAACGGCGTTTCATGTTTTGGCCCAGTGATCGATCTTTAGCAAATCGAGATCTAAGGCTCTTTGACAAGATAGGGGGTCATGAATTACCATGTACATCGAGGTGTCATCAGCGAACAATTTAAGGTGTGATTTTATATCTTCTGCTATGTCATTTATATATACGAGGAAAAGTAGTGGACCCAGAATTGAACCCTGAGGCACTCCGTTGGGTACGATGATTTCAGTTGATGATTAACCTTTTATTTGAACTAATTGTCTGCGATCCGAGAGGTAGTCTTTTATGAGAAGTAGAAGGTTCCCGGTAATCCTAATGGCCATAGAAGCCCTTCATGCCAGACACGATCGAATGCCTTACTTATATCGAAGAAGATGGCCTTAGTTTCGAGTCCTTTATCAAGCTCGCCACATATTTGATGATAGATATCAACAAGTTGGTAAGTGCAGCTATCTCCGCTCCTAAAGCCAGATTGCACAGGGACAACACTGAGAGTTTTGGAGAAAATTGAATAGGTAAGACAATGGAGAGTACAGAAATTTTCAGCACAGTTTTAGAATGGTATTATTTATATGGTCACTACCACAGGCCTTGCTTGTATCAAGGGAGATCAAGATATTATAAGCATCACTTGGAGTGTAGATAAGATAAGATTTCGATAAGACTTGGTGTTAGTGCAGGTGGGGTTAAATTTGGGTTGGGTAGTTTGGATTGACTTATGAAGTGCTGGTTGAGTGCTTCAGCCTTTTCACGGTCGTCATCGATAATGCCGTTTTTTGTGAGTAAAGAGGGAAAGTCTTTTGGGGTGGATTTATGTTTCAATGCAACAGATTTGACTAACTTCCACTAGTCTTTTTCGTTGAATTTGCACTCATTTATTTTGGTATGGTATTCCAACTTGACTCGTCGAATTTCGGATGTGACAAAGTTTCTGAACTTTCGGAACTCAGACCATGAGTTTGGCGAGTCAAAGAGTTTAGCTTGTCTGTGGATCCGGTTACGTTTGCGTAAAATACGTCGAATGTAACCGTTCATCCACTCAGGGTCCCTAACTCTGATAGTAACTTCTTTATGGGGTACAAACTTGTAGATGCCATCTACCAGAATGGAAGAAATTGCCTCACCTAGGCTGTTTGGATCAGGAATTTGATCGAAGAAATCGTTCCAATTAACTTCTTTAAAGAAAGCAGCAATGTCTGGAGGATGTATAGCAGTGTAGTTCCAGATTGTGCGTTTGTAGGCTTGGTGTGTCGGACATGGTACGCGTAATGAGATGCGAATGGGACAGTGATCACTGATGCCGGCGTCTAGAATTTCCGAGTGGAGGATGAGATCTGGGCAGGAGACTAGAGCTATATCTAGAAGCGAGGAGCACATTTCAGTTATCCTAGTTGGACCTTTAATGCACTGAGTGAGATCAAAATGTTGGATGATTTCATGTAGATGACCAGTTTTTGTAGAAAGAAAGTTAACATTTAGGTCACCAAGGATGATAACTGGCTTACATTCGGTCTTGGCTTGACTAAGTTTCTGGTTTTAGGTCTAGGGTTTGGATGTATGTCACCACCTAGTAATATCTTATCAGGTATAGACCCGTTTCGGTAGATATTATTGAGTTGGATAAGTCAAAACTTCGATCGACCAGGGGTTGGCTATGGGTAGACAAGAATGCCGAGGGGTCCAATGAGCAAAACAGGTAGTAAATCTGTTGATGGTGATACGATTTTTGGAGAAGGAGAAGTCTTTGTTTGCAGTGGGTTGGAATATTGAGAGAGCAAATAAACGAAAAGTAGGAAAAGTATATTTGATGTGCTTATGGTACAATGTGATATGGTACAATAGAAGAACAAGAAACTATAATGTACAGGGGTTTGGGTTGGTATTGTGTGAGGGCAGTTTGCTAAGTTTACATATACAATTGGGATGATGAAAGAAAGACTAGGAATAATATATAAATGGTCAAAGTAATGAAATAGAGATGCGTTTATTTTGAGAGTTGTTGTACAAAGCAATGTGAAAGCTCGTAAGATAAGTGTGTTACTTGTTATAGTCGGCAATTTTTGGTATCTTTGAAGAATTCCAAAGGCTTCAGTTCTTTAACGAAAATCTTACTCAATTCTGTACCGTATACATATTCATCAAAATATGTTACGGCACGCTGCTTTCGTTTTATTTACGTTCGAAAACAAAGCGTCATGTAACGACTGGTTTGTTTTGATTGACTGAAATTTGCTACCAATACAGTAGGACCAATTCTGATAGAACAATATTTATCTATTTATACGTACTTTTTCTCACTTGTGTCATCAAGGCTCAGAGGCAGTGTGCAAAATGGGGGTGTGGTTTGGACACGATGAGTAAATACAGACAAACTATAGTGGGTAGTTTAATTGCTATACCTACCAAATCTATTGTTGTAGTTCTTTTCTTCACCGCAGGATTTATTTGCAGGATTTTTTTTTGGTATTTCTTGTCTTGCGAATTTCTTATCCTCTTCGATTTCTGTGGTCTATTATCGGAACGTTCGTTTGGTGTTTTTTGTTCTTTTTTGTCTGGTCTCGTGGCATTTCTGTGGTCTATTTGCCGAACGTTCGTTTGGTGTCCCCTTCCTCCCTTTTTGTCTTATCTTACTCGATTCATGTGTTCTTCTTGCCGAACATTCGTTTGGTGTCCCCTTCCTCGTTTTTTTTTCTTATCTTACCCGATTCATGTGTAGTATTTGCCGAACATTCGTTTGGTGTCCCCTTCCTCGTTTTTATTTTTATCTTACGCGATTCCCGTGGTCCATTTGCAGAAGTTTCATTTTGTATTTTTTGGGTTGCTCTCTTTCTTGTATGACATGATTTCTGTTGTCTTTTTACCAAACTTCCGTTTGGTGTTTCTTGTTTTGTTTCGTTTGCTACCGTCTGATTCGATTTCTGCAATCTATTTGCATTGTCTTCTATAGGTATCGATTTTCTGCTGTTGGCATTTATTTTATATGCCAAAAGTTTTTGTAAACTAATGCTGAAAAAAGAAAAATTGATCCTCTTATTGGTCCCAAATGAATCCCAACGGGGGTCTAAATTGTAGTAAATTTTGCGGTCACAGAACTCGACTTTTTTCGACTGTGTTCCGAATCTATCACTGGTTACTTCCCTTATTCAACGGTATGCAATAATATTGTCAATTGCTCCACAGAGAGGGATATATTGTATTGAAATTGATGAGCACAAATTCCGAATTTGTGAGATTTCCAGAGTATTTTTTATATTTTTATGAATATAATATATTGTATAATTATAGTTATATTAGAATCTTTTCACAAAATATTAGCTTCATAGTTTTAAACACTTTTAAATGGCAACAATGAAATTGTTAAAATACTGCCATTTTAAAGTGTTTTAAACTATGACACTTTTGTGTGAACAGGTGTCAAGTAACCTAATTTCGTGCTAACCTATTTTTCGTGCATTTCCAGAGGGGATTAATTATTTACATGTGGGACCTCGCGTGACCTTGGCATTATTATGAAATTAAAATTTTATGATCTTAGCTGTGATACTTTATATTCCTGGAATGAAAATTGTTTTTTCTGGGCAACCCGATATAAAAGATCTTAAAAGAGTGCTTATGTAATAGGAAATTTATGAAATAAGTTGCCAGATTTAATATTACCATAGTTTTGGCAAGGGAAAATCTGGCAACATTTCATAAATTTCATATTACATAAGCACGAGTGAAAGACGTTAGCCTTTTTACACTTACTCTACAAAATATCCCTGCGCGTAACAAAAATATTTTGGTAAACACGTTAATGTGATGTGATTGGAGCAATTTTATGACCTTTACCTTCCATTTTAACTGAGTCATTTCAACTGCAAAGGATGTCATGTTATTTGTTTACATGGCGCACGGATACATGACCTAATGACCACAGTTATTAACCTATACATGTAGTTCATATCGTTTTTTTAAGAACACCATTTCACAACAGACTGCGGCCCTTTGGCCTTACATTCCCCCTTCTCACACTCAGACTTAAGAATTTCTTACCTTACGAGGAACTGCAAAAAGTTTTCCATCACGAACACGGGTTTTGACAAAGTGGTCTGATTTTAACCTAAGCCAGCTATTCTTCGTTTTGTGGATAGAAATGAGATTGGTGCTTTCGTTTTGTTTACGTTCGCAAACATCATAACGAGTGATTGGCTGAAATTTTGCTACCAATACAATAGGGCCAATTTTGATTGGAAAATATCTATCTATGAATACGTAATCTTTCTCACTTGTATTACCACGGTTTAGAGGTATGACGAATGGGGGCGTGGTTTGGACACGATGCATGTTTTCTACCTTTCGATATAAAGCTAGAGTTGTATTATAAATAAAATCTACAATTGTATTGAGCACTATTTTAACAGTGCAAGTATTTTATTATTAATAAAATCATGCAACAGGAAATATTTGAATAGCTGATCGTAATACATAAGTTTATATAACAATATCGGACTGCATGGTTGATCTATCTTTATTCTAATTTTAAGTTTTATGTTTACAAAATGAAGCTTTGAGTCTCTTTTTTACAAATTTCTCTTTTGAGTCTATCGGTCTCTGTTGCCATTTGTCATCTAAATGTTTTTCAGTTTCTACTGTCTATTAATAAATAATAAATTCGTCAATGAAATATAGTGACCAAAAACTATATTGGTTGATTTATGTTTAATCAAATTTTACAATTTCAATGTTCATCTAACAATCTCATGACATCCATTCAAATATCAATCCATATATCCATACATCTGCCTCTATTTCAGCCTCTGATAGCTCTTTTGAAAGATGTCAGCTGGTGTAGAGAAAGAAAAAATAGGCCCTGTTAAATGGGGACATTCCGCATCTCCGCAGGTGCGTTTTTTTTTAAAAACCTATTTCAAGTATGTTGTATTCAATTTTCAAGTTGTTAGCATATAAACCAATTAATCTAGTGGCGAACTCACTGACGGAGTGACGAACTCACTGATGTACTGACGTATGAGGTAGCCCTGACTCTATAACCCGGAGCTGATTTGCACAAACAATATGGTGGTATTGTAAACTTTTAGGCGTTGAATATATTCTTTCTAAACGCTATGAAATTTAGACGATACTTAAATTGTACCTTGTTCCTAACTTAACGACAACGGACAAAGCTTAACTAGCTCTAAGAACTCAGAATGAGCAATAGCACCTTTAACTCCATTCATTGGTGTAGTCTACCATTATCGGTTTTTAGAAGCCTTTGAACAGCTACTTCTGTGTTAAAGCATATGCGTATAACACTTTCGGATTTCGGAAGGCTTCACAAATCCCCCTCAATCTTTAAAGAGTGTGAGATGATTTTTCGGGTTGTCAGAAGCTTGGTCCCACCTCAAAGCTGGTAAACAGGTATTACAGCATATTCGTATGCAATGTAGGAGGCATTCATTATAATCAGAAAGGCTAGAAAAGTTCGGATGTGTTCATTTTGAATAAGTTATTTTGTAACAAGATTGTACCGCTATAATAGACAACATGTTAAGGGTATCAGTGGATTCTTTGTCAATTTCTGCATAATCCTTGTGTCATCTTGACTGATACAATTTCCTCCTGACCCTTAAATTTGATATCTCATTAACAGACGTTTGTACGAAACCATTAACTAAGAAGCTGTAGGGTTGTTGTTACTTCCTCCTGAAGAACGTACTGCACAGAAGAAAAGTTCTAAATAATCTTGACTCAGCTTGTAGGTTAGTAAATATTTCAGAGGAGGTGTATTAACAGTTATGTAACAGTTGATATAGTTGAATAAGAGACTTGATAGTACATATGAAGCCAATAAAGGGTTTTTCTCCAGGATCGAGTCATTAGGTTTACATTATTGTCACTTAATTTTGATTATATTCATATGCTTCCAGCAAGAAAGGCATCTAACAGTGTTCATTGTTTGATCTAATGGGAGCATTTATAATTTCTTGCAATTGGATTTCTTGAATTAAAGGTGGGGTTCCTTATTTTTTAGTGTCAAATTAATTGATTAATTGGTGTATCTAATAAATTATCATGTATTCATATTCTATACTTGTGTTCTTATTGCATATAATTAATAGCTTTAACCAATCATACCTGTACATGTATGTACAGTCTGGATAAACATAAAAAGACCTTTTGAACTTTCTTGATCGGTCACTCATTGGAATTCTGCTGGTAATTCTCTTCTAATTTAGCTAATTATGAATTAATTATGGAGATGTGAGACAAACTGGTATTTTTCCAAGTCATTAGAACACCTCTATTTTCTATTCATATAAGTATTAGCATTTTCATTTTCATCAATGACAATAAGGGAACCCATCTTTAAGTAAGTCAAAAAGTCTGTCAATTATTCGAAAGAATTTAATAGTTGCCTAGTTAATAGTTCGAACTCTTTCATTTTCAAATGTTGATTACGAAACAAAACCCCAGTCAGACCTCTTCATATCTGAATCGAGTTGAAAAGATATTCTTACATTAAGATCTGTATTATGTTTTCTACCTTTCGATATCAAGCAAGTAGTATTTTTAATAAAATCTACAAGTGTTTTGAGCACTATTTTAACAGAGAAAATATTTTATTAATAAAATCATGCAACAGAAATATTTGAATGGCTGATCATATATCGTGTCTAAACCACGACCCACGCCTCGTCATACTCTATAAGACCAGGTCAAAATCCATATTCGGGATACGATGCTGATTGTGATATTTATTTTTAGATCTATTTTAGATATAAGTTTCACTCTTTTCTGGTAATAAATCAGCTCATATCCTTATTACTATTCACAAAATACACCCGCAATATTTGGATTAGTTTCGCTATTGTTTCATTTACGTAATAAGTAATATTTGATCCATATATATGTTTTATTTGAATCTAAATATATCTACTATATAATCCATACCAGTGTTTCTCCATGAATAGGCTTAAGGCATGGAAAATCCTAATATTCTATAACAAGCTTACAAGTAAACATCAAAATTGGATCTATAGTTGTTTATAAAACAAATTTGATAACCTTTTATTAATCCCAAGGCAATTCCTAACCAAAGAATGGACATTCAAAACATTATAAATTTTATAATTTTTATTCAAACTAATCATAATAATCACATATAATAATGGATATATAATAATGGATATATAATAATGGATATATAATAATAGATATATAATAATAGATATATAATAATGGATATATAATAATGGATATATAATAATAGATATATAATAATGGATATATAATAATGGATATATAATAATGGATATATAATAATGGATATATAATACTAGATATATAATAATAGATATATAATAATAGATATATAATAATGGATATATAATAATGGATATATAATAATGGATATATAATCATGCGGCTGAATAAGATGTTCAGTGGGAAGGCTGTTGTTGTTTTCTTTGGAACCATATAATATCCTCCCCAAAAGAAACTTCTCCTACAACAGTTGTCCACATCATGACATCCCAGCCCCACACCCCCAGGGAGCGAAAAAACCCCAGGTTGAGAACCAGGGGTATAGGCACACTAATTACAGCTTTGTTACACCGATATTCACTTGCAAAAGTGATTCTGATTGGCCGGAGAGTGGCACGTGAATGTCTGCCATGCAACTTCAGCAACAGAATTACATAGTCTTATATTCTATATATATTTTAATTGTCTATTAATATAATTTGAGAAATTAAAGATTTTATATACAATATATTAATAAATTCTCAATTAGTGAAACTATTATGTTTACCTACAAAAAAAACAAAAAACGTTGCAGCATTTAGCAACTGTAATCTGACGATTACTTGAGTTCATCACTGAGCGGCGTGGAAATTCTATTACTTTGTTTGTCCATTTCGTCCTGTAAACTGCCTGCAAGTTGGTAGTATCCAGTTTGTTGTAAACATTGCATAAATGTCGGCAATGCAATGTGACTTGAATTGAAGAGAGTATACATTAAGTATCTCAGGGCATCTCGATTGCCTTCTGATCTTAATATAGACATCACCTTATCCATCTCATTTGAATCTATAACTTTCTTACTAAACAGATGATCTGTGATATCGTCAACTCGAATATTTTCCATAATACTCAGAAAATTTTTCCTAAATACTTCCTGATGGTAGATTGGAATTTTACCTCTTGGTTTTACATCAATCTTTTCTGAAATGACAAGTAACATTATCAAGAATCCAAAGCAAGGTAAAATTCAAAAATCCGACTAAGCCACACTCAAATACCAAATACCATGACGACACAGCCAAACTATCCTCAAGCCACAACAAAAGCCCTTCATACCGAACCCAGAGATCTTAGCCCCATACCCTAAGCCTTTCGGCTACATCAAAAACTCTTTGAGCCACAACCGAAACTCATCAAGCAACCCCCACTTATATTTTTGTATGCCATGTCATGTCTGTTTATGTTTGACCACGCCTAGAGTTACCCTGGACCATCTGCAAACCATTGCTATTTAATTAGTCTGTTGCCTACCATATTCATTGATGTAGCCCTTGCCCCTAACACAGGGTTTGTTTGGTGTTTCGTCTTCTACTCTGGTTGTTGTCTGACGCGATTCTTGCAGGTCATTTGCCGAACTTTGGTTTGGTGTTTCTTGTAATTTTTTTACCCAAGTTTGGTTTAGTGATTCTTGCAGGTCATTTGCCGAACTTTCGTGTGGTGTTTCTTGTGGTATGTTTACCCAACTTTGGTTTGGTGATTCTTGCAGGTCATTTGCCGAACTTTCGTGTGGTGTTTCTTGTGGTATGTTTACCCAACTTTGGTTTGGTGATTCTTGCATGTCATTTGTCGAATTTTCGTGTGGTGTTTCTTGTAGTATTTTCAACCAAGTTTGGTTTGGTGTTACTTGTTCAGCATCGTTTCTTGTCTTATGTGATTTCTGCAGTCTATTTGCAAAACTAAACTTATTCATACTCTGAGGGCCATTGTTATGTTTTTCAACCTCCCATTCACGACGGCCATTTTGTGTCTCCTCTTGGTTAAGGTCATTCAGATCATTCACAACTTCTGGATCTATAGAGTTGGTGATATCTTTGGTTTGAATGGCCAGTGTATCTCCATTCTCTGCTAAAACAGCTCCGTCTTCTCTTGGAGTTGGTTGTTTTGATGGTTTGGTAAATGGTAAGTGAAGGTCATCCTCCAGATAACTGTTGTTTGTCGGTTGTGTGGAGTCTACCATCTCTTTATCTTGGGCAAGAGCCACCCGATATCGTAAAACTAGATCTCTGAAAAGGAAAATCTTCCAAACGGGTGTCAAAACATATAAACACTTAAATCAGAATGGTGTTAATAGATTTGATAGACTTTGTATGTAAGCTTATATCAGAGACTCTTATACCTTCTACAAAGATTCTTGACAATTTTAAAACTTGTCTCTATAATGTAAACGTATGTACTCGTGTATGTAGTAAGTTGGTTATTACTGGAAGTAAATTATGTACATATTGGCCAATATTATTTAAATGAGCGGAAACAGAAAGAACTTATTAATTAATACAAATTACCTCAAATCACAGAGATCTGACGACTTGCAAATTACTGGATGCATTAGATATTTTATTATTATAAGATACATATATAGGGCCTACCACACATCAATTTATTAAGTCTATGAAATTGTAGAATATTTGTGTTTGTTGTGAGATTCTAATTATATTAGTGTATTTTTGTATTTTATTGTAATGTACTATTAATTTGTACGAATAAATCAGAATGGTGTAAATAGAAGCTATGAGTATACTGATACACATACAAAGACTAGATAATCAGAATGGTGTAAATAGAAGCTATGAGTATACTGATACACATACAAAGACTAGATAATCAGAATGGTGTAAATAGAAGCTATAAGTATACTGATACACATACAAAGACTAGATAATCAGAATGGTGTAAATAGAAGCTATAAGTATACTGATATACATACAAAGACTAGAATATCAGAATGGTGTAAATAGAAGCTATAAGTATCCAAGATACACATACAAAGATTAGAAAATCAGAATGGTGTAAATAGAAGCTATAAGTATACTGATATACATACAAAGATTAGAAAATCAGAATGGTGTAAATAGAAGCTATAAGTATCCCAGATACACATACAAAGATTAGAAAATCAGAATGGTGTAAATAGAAGCTATAAGTGTCTCTGATATCAGAATGGTGTAAATAGAAGCTATAAGTATCCAAGATACACATACAAAGATTAGAAAATCAGAATGGTGTAAATAGAAGCTATAAGTATACTGATATACATACAAAGATTAGAAAATCAGAATGGTGTAAATAGAAGCTATAAGTATCCCAGATACACATACAAAGATTAGAAAATCAGAATGGTGTAAATAGAAGCTATAAGTGTCTCTGATACACATACAAAGACTAGAAAATCAGAATGGTGTAAATAGAAGCTATAAGTGTCTCTGATACACATACAAAGACTAGAAAATCAGAATGGTGTAAATAGAAGCTATAAGTGTCCCAGATACACATACAAAGACTAGATAATCAGAATGGTGTAAATAGAAGCTATAAGTATCCCTGATACACATACAAAGACTAGAAAATCAGAATGGTGTAAATAGAAGCTATGAGTGTCCCTGATACACATACAAAGACTAGATAATCAGAATGGTGTAAATAGAAGCTATGAGTGTCTCTGATACACATACAAAGACTACAAAATCAGAATGGTGTAAATAGAAGCTACAAGTGTCTCTGATATACATACAAAGACTAGAAAATCAGAATGGTGTAAATAGAAGCTATAAGTGTCCCTGATATACATAAAAAGATTAGAACATCAGAATGGTGTAAATAGAAGCTATAAGTATCCCTGATACACATACAAATACTAGAAAATCAGAATGGTGTAAATAGAAGCTATAAGTATCCCTGATACACATACAAAGACTAGAAAATCAGAATGGTGTAAACAGAAGCTATAAGTGTCCCTAATACACATACAAAGACTAGAAAATCAGAATGGTCTAATTAGAAGCTATAAGTGTCCCTGATACACATACAAAGACTAGATAATCAGAATGGTGTAGACACGCTATAAGAATCCCTGATACACATACAAAGACTAGATAATGAGAATGGTGTAAATAGAAGCTATAAGTGTCCCTGATATACATAAAAAGACTAGAAAATCAGAATGGTGTAAATAGAAGCTATAAGTGTCCCTGATATACATAAAAAGACTAGAACATCAGAATGGTGTAAATAGAAGCTATAAGTGTCCCTGATATACATAAAAAGACTAGAACATCAGAAGGGTGTAAATAGAAGCTATAAGTGTCCCTGATACACATACAAAGACTAGAAAATCAGAATGGTGTAAATAGAAGCTATAAGTGTCCCTGATATACATAAAAAGACTAGAACATCAGAATGGTGTAAATAGAAGCTATAAGTGTCCCTGACTAGCAAAAGCATAAAAAACCTGAAAACTTGTGTTATATCCCTTTTAGAAAACCTAAACAATATTATTCAAGCGAATAGGACAATATGTAATATTTCCGCTTATCGGGTTTTCCCAAAATGTAAATTTACGTACATACTGTCGTCGGGATGTGGATGCTTTGGGGTCGGAGTGTCTCTAGATCCCTAGTCAAATTTGCAGGCCATGGCGTGGATTACTTCATCCCCTACCCTGGGCAACCTTACAATGTATGACAATGTATCTTTGAATTTTCAAAACCAGGTAGTGATGAAGGTTTATTGGCTGACATGGTAAGAACGTTCCCCTCTAATGGGTCAATAAACAGAGACAATATGTGCTTCAGGCTGTCCCCGTTTAAGACGCATCGAAGGTTGAAAATATAATAAAGACTAAGCATGCCATTGTGCTTCCAAAATTCTTCCAGTTAAAAATAATTTCTTACCTTAAAAGCTCTCCCATGTCTTTATATGAAGCTACAGGCGCCTAATCATAAAAACAGAGATTGCATAACAGGGAAGTAGTCTCTGACACCCAGACCTTCATTTCTTCGACAGGGATCTTTAATCGTAGCATAGACAAAGAGGGACTTGGTGATGATTTTTCAATAGAGATTTAAATTGTATGGTGGTTCGTTTAGGACATATTTGTACATGTGAATATTTGTAAATTATCTATAAAAAGTCTTTAGAAGTACTACAAATGTACGAAACTTGCATAATTTCTTCAAATAGAGGTATATTTCTTTCAAAAGTTTATCCCAATCCTGAAAATGGGTGTGGCCTATCCGACAGGTTTACGTCTTGTTGAGGGGATCTACAAGAGGAAATATCAATACTATAATATTTGATTCTTCACTAGTCCCTGGGATCAACTTGCTGTTAGTGTTCAACTCAAGGAAACTAACGAACATTGGCGACTTTCGGGCAAAAATCTCACAACTATATCAGAAATTTGAGCAATCTCAGATATTTCGTTTTTTCCATGTGACCAAGACTGTTCATGTGCCTGCATCCTAAGCAAACCGAGTCTGGATCACGATAAGTACCGAATAGTTAAAGGGAGAGAACTCAATTAACCTACTCGTACACGGCTCATTTGGGTTTACTGACTTTTGCATTTCAATACTCCGACAAGAGGATGGCATCAAAGATAACCACCTGTTAGGAAAGCATCTTCACAATGACAAGCTATTACGATCTTCAGCTTTTACTTTGACTGCAATAGTCACCTTTCTTGTATCACAGAAGTTTGTAAAGGCAGTGATTTGATTGGATTGTACGGTAGCCAATACAGCCAATAATGTTTACAGTCTTTTCTGATTGGCTGCATTCGTAGGCGTACAATGTAAAATCCAACCATATTACTTCACTTACGTGATAGAAGAAGGGTGGCTATTGCAGTCAAGGTATAAGACGAAGATCGTGATAGCTTAATATGTTGAAGATGGTAGAAAGGGACTTCAGTAGGATATTATATAGTAAGGTAAATAAATAACCGATATTCAAAAGAAATAAGTTTCTAGCAGAAACAGTAATGATTAAGGATTGAGACACATGTTTTTTCAAAATTGCCTGTGGTTACTTTCCGTTTGGAAAATGAAATGAATGGAGTTTTACGTCGTCCTCTTCTTACTTTCAGCTTTATTTAATGTTCGTTGTTACCAGTTTTGTTGATGTTCGATTCTATTTCTGCACACTTGTATTGTCATAATAGGTGATCATATCAATTCATTTTGTCTTTAAATCCAAGGGCCCGTGAGCGCCAGCTTCGCCACGCTGTATCGTATATATATACATATGACTAGCAATTTTGGAAAAGAACTCATATATGAAGGATGAGTTATGAGGTCTGTTGGTGGACTTTGAGGAAGGCAGTGTGTATCCTGCGGTTTAACAAGAACCTCGTTTTAACTATTTGCCAAAAGGCTCAATGTATCAACTAGTTGTGATCTGTTGCGTATTTAGCCCCCCCCCCCTTTTTTTTTTGGCCGAAAAACTTGCTTTCGGGGCTCAAAATTGGCCCTACTGTCTTGCTAGCAAAATCCAAGCAAATCAGATTTAAATAGCACGAATGTCATTTCCACGCCACAAAACGAAGTGCAACGTGCTTAGTTTAATACGGGTTTATAAGACAATGTCAAAACCTGTATTCGGGGTGTCACTCTGATTGACAAGACTTCAATTCGTCCTGTAAAAGTTTTGCTATGTAACCATATCCGTTATGTTTTAAACAATCTATAAATGTTGGCAATGCCGTGTGACTGAATTTAATGATGATGTCCATTAAGTATCTCAGAGCTTCTCGATTTCCTTCCGATTTTAATTTCGTTCTTATCACGTCCATGTCATTCCATTCTATTACTCTTTCAGTATAGAGATGATCTATGATATCGTCAACTCGTATAGTATCCATAATACTATTGTAATTGTTCCTCAATATTTCCCCATGCTTGTTTGGTTTTACATCATTCTTTTCTGAAATTACAAGTTACTTTGATTAGAAATACTAAATCCCTAAAGAAGAAAATGTAAATTCCAAATTCTATCAACTCATTAAGCCACACCCCAAATATTAATAAGACACACCCTTTGGTTGATTTGTTACTTAGCAGGGATGGGATCAAGTCATCAAGCCACACCCCAAATATCTTAATATGACACGCCCTTTGGCTGATTTGTTCTCAAATATCTTATTATGACACGCCCTTTGGTTGATTTGTTACTTAGCAGGGATGGGATCAAGTCATCAAGCCACACCCCAAATATCTTATTATGACACGCCCTTTGGTTGATTTATTACTTAGTAGGGATTGGATCAAGTCATCAAGCCACAACCAATCTTATCAAGCCACAACCTATCTCATCAAGCCATATCCAGATACCATCGAGCCATAACCCATCAAGCCACACACCAAATCCAATCAAGACACAACCAAATCCCATTAAGCCACAACCAGATCCCATCAAGCTACAACCAATTCCAGATCCCCTCAAGCCACAACCAGATCCCCTTAAGCCACACCCAATCTCATCAAACCACACCCAAGCTCATCAAGCCACACCCAATCTCATCAAGTCACGCCCAAAATCAAATCAAGCTACAACCAGATCCGGTCAAGCCACACCTAATTCTTATTCAATCATGCCTATATATCGGTTAAATAGTTTAACTTGCTACCTACCAAATCTATTGTCATTCTCTTCAACTCTAGGTTCGCTTGGTTTTTCTTGATTTGTTCTGTTTGTTCTTGTCTCACAGGATTCCTGCAGTATTTTAGCAGTACTTTTGTCTGTTTCTGGTACTGGTTCTGTTTTTGTCTGACGCGATTCCTGCAGTTTTTGTGCTAAACTCCTATAGCCCGAGGATTTTAAACTGTCAATAAACCTCTCTAAACCTTTGGGACCACTGCGGTGTATTCTTTCCAAAAGTTCTTCCACCCCAGCACGACGACCATGTTGTCTCTCCTCTTGTTTAATTTTATTCAGTTCATCTAGATCTATCACTCGTCTTTGAAATAAAGAGTTGTATATATCTTTTGGTGTTATCTGTCTGACAAGTTCCTCGTGATTATCTGTTAAAATATCTTCATCAATTTTAGGCAGTGGTTCTTTATACTCTGCCATCTTTTGTTGTAATTTATGATTGGTAGGATAACTAGATAAATAAATAAAACAACTATACATACGAGAGTAACAATAATGGGGCTGTAGTAACAAATCGGTTCAGTTTAAAGATATATGACACATACCGTTTGAAACCATATTATTCAAGCCTCCTCCCTTTCCCCCACGTTCGCTCCTATTCTGGTTCTGCCTTATCTCTTCCAAGAGAAAACATTTTCTCACCTTAAAAGACTGAATTTTCACTCAGTTCTTTTGATATGAAAATAGCATAGAAAAATCTAAGATGGCGTAATAGGGAAGTATTTCTAGTTTCGATTTCTGAATAAGTGTACTATATATATTGTGTCCAAACCACGCCCCCTTTCGACGACCATGATTTGTGATACGATTACTATATACCTATTACTATTTTTAAGGTGAATTGTTTAGGACAAATTGATTCTTTAACATTTTGATATTTTTTATGACTTCTTTTTTTCCTTCTTGAGACATCAGTTTGAAAATCTTAAAGAGTTATTTCAGCATATCAAGATATCTATAAAGATAATACAGTAATCGATTAAAGGGCAGTAACTATATTTTAAAGATCGCCCTAGCCTGCGAATCAACCGTTAAAAGTAGAGACGGGGCGAAGCGAGAAGTAATAAATATACCAAAAGTATCTATCCATAAAATTGTCTTCTTTATCTATATTTTAAAAGATACTACGGACAACATTGGTTTCTTTTGCTATGTAAGATATGATAAGATTTATTGCATATACGCCCATTGTGGGCAGTATACAAATATAAAAGAGTAGAATAAGGTGAAAGATATAATGAATGTAGATTTAGTATAGGTATATGTTACTTAATATATAAAACAATGTACAGGTATCATAGTCCTTTATAGGTCGATAACAAACATGTAGGCTAAACAGTACAATACTGTGAATATACATATAATATAGTTGTTATACATGCAGAATAATATACATCAAAGAATGTAAGTTTCCATCATCATGTGACGTGACTGAAATTTCATTCAAATATATGACCTGATAATCGAAAAAGCAAAATCCTAAATAACAATCGTCCTCATTATTTTAAGATCTATTTTCCTGAGAACTTATTAATTTTCTCCGCAAATCTCTGCCTTCGACCACAAACCAAACTAGATCTTTAAAGGAATGGTGTAAAGGGGTTTTCTAAACAAATTTTATGTGTATCGGGGACACTGGCAGCATCAATTTGCACCATTCCAATTTTTTTTTATGACGTCTGTGGTTCCAATAATTCCATGTAAACTAAGTGTTTGATGACGTCATAAAACGCTTAGATTTGGTAGGTATCAAGTTAAATTCAACCGTTATACCTTGTCTGTATTTAAAAGGTCGTCAAGGATATCTCGTATTTATAGATGTGGTCTAATATAAGCAAATCAACCAAAGGGCGTGTCATATAAAGATATTATGGGTGTGATTTGATGGGATTTGGGAGTGGTTTCATTAGATTGGGGTGTGGTTTAATGAGATTTGGAAGTTTAGGAACCAAAGACGTCTGATTGAAAATTGGAATAGTGCAAATTTATGCTGTCATTGTTTCCGACAGGCCTACCCATAATTATTTTTAGAAAACCTCTTTACAATTCCTTTGACAGTGTACCAAAAGACAAAACGTAATGATTTGAAGATTTAATGAAAATATTTAGATTTAAAACAATACTCTTGGAATAACTCGGACCATCATTAACAACAACAACTACAATGGCAACCACGAAGACTTCTACCACTGCTTTTGTTTCCGTTTCTTTGTTTTTCTGGTGTCTCTGTGCTGTTTGTTAGGCCTATTGTCTGAAGAAATCCCACTGCTGCATTTGCCAAACTTTGGTGTAGAGTTTCCCGCTCTGTTCCGTTTGTTATTGTCGAACTTGAAATCTGTAGTTTATTTGCCAAATTTTCTTTTAGTGTTTTTTGGCCTGTTCTGTTTCTTATTGTCTTACGCGAGTCCAGCAGTTTAGTAGCCAATTCCCTATAACCTTTGGATTCTAAAGCGTGAATGAACTCATCTAAGCCATTAGGACCAGTGTGATGTAATCTTTTTAGAAGTTTTTCAACCCCAGGACGACGACCACGATTTCTTTCCTCAAGTTTTATTTCTTCGAGATCATCAAAATCTATCACTCGTCTTTCATATAAAAAATCAATGAGATCCGTAACAGATTTTAGATAGCTGCGTAGCTCGTTTTGATTTTCTCTTAAAACAGCTTCGTCTACGTTGGGTATCCGTCCTATGTAATCCTTGGCCATTTTTTCATCTTGGGACTGAGCATTTACTTCGATGTGGTCGCTAGGTTTCGGCTCTGTCGTGATTGGTTGGTTGGTAGATGAGTCCGCTTCTATATTGCTGATATCGCGGACTCGATAACGCGTTTCTGTTGTGTCTGTCATCTCTTTACCTTCGGGCCAGAGCCACCCGTTGTTTGTAAAATAACAACTCTGAAAGATGAAAATTATTAGTTTTTTTTTAAAGGAATGATACATATTAGAATGGACATAAAATTGAAAGTCTCAAACTTGGTCAATAAGTGTATAGGGCCTATATTCATACCAGGTGACATGACTAAAGAATAGAATCTCTATATAAGACGATGTATCCATTAAACTAAATAATTATTGCAAAACGCTTCTAAGCATGTTTCAAAATTACTTAGTTTAATGAATTATTACTAGTTTTATGGATTTATTGGATTATAGTTGGTGGGAAATAAGATAAACAAATAATAGGCTACAACAATAGATAACGGACTGGCAATATGAAAGTTAATAACAGGCTACAACTACAACTATAGATAACGGACTGGCAATATGGAAATTAATAACAGGCTACAACTATAGATAATGGACTGGCAATATGGAAATTAATAACAGACAACGACTATAGATAACGGACTGGCAATATGGAAATTGATAACAGGCTACGACTATAGATAACGGACTGGCAATATGGAAATTGATAACAGGCTACAACTATAGATAACGGACTGGCAATATGGAAATTAATAACAGGCTACAACTATAGATAACGGACTGGCAATATGGAAATTAATAACAGGCTACAACCATAGATAACGGACTGACAATATGGAAATTAATAGCAGTCTACAACTATAGATAACGGACTGGCAATATGGAAATTGATAACATGCTACAACTATAGATAACGGACTGGCAATATGGAAATTGATAACAGGCTACAACTATAGATAACGGACTGGCAATATGGAAATTAATAACAGGCTACAACTATAGATAACGGACTGGCAATATGGAAATTAATAACAGGCTACAACTATGGATAACGGACTGGCAATATGGAAATTAATAACAGGCTACAACTATAGATAACGGACTGGCAATATGGAAATTAATAACAGGCTACAACTTTAGATAACGGACTGGCAATATGGAAATTAATAACAGGCTACAACTATAGATAACGGACTGGCAATATGGAAATTAATAACAGGCTACAACTATAGATAACGGACTGGCAATATGGAAATTAATAACAGGCTACAACTATAGATAACGGACTGGCAATATGGAAATTAATAACAGGCTACAACTATAGATAACGGACTGGCAATATGGAAATTAATAACAGGCTACAACTATAGATAACGGACTGGCAATATGGAAATTAATAACAGGCTACAACTATAGATAACGGACTGGCAATATGGAAATTAATAACAGGCTACAACTATAGATAACGGACTGGCAATATTGAAATTAATAACAGGCTACAGCTATAGATAACGGACTGGCAATATGGAAATTAATAACAGGCTACAACTATGGATAACGGACTGGCAATATGGAAATTAATAACAGGCTACAACTATAGATAACGGACTGGCAATATGGAAATTAATAACAGGCTACAACTATAGATAACGGACTGGAAATATGGAAATTAATAACAGTCTACAACTATAGATAACGGACTGGCAATATGGTAATTAATAACAGGCTACAACTATAGATAACGGACTGGCAATATGGAAATTAATAACAGGCTACAACTACATGTATAGATAACGGACTGGCAATATGGAAATTGATAACAGGCTACAACTATAGATAACGGACTGGCAATATGGAAACAATATACAATTCTCAAATCAAATCAGTGACACATGACCCATAGTTTTGAGATCTTATGAAGATTAATATCCCCT